CATCATAGACCAGTATGGACCATCACAGACCAGTACAAACCATCACAGACCATCATAGACCAGTATGGACCATCACAGACCAGTACAAACCATCACAGACCAGTACAGGCCATCACAGACCAGTACAGGCCATCACAGACCAGTACAAACCATCACAGACCAGTGTGGACCATCACAGACCAGTACAAACCACTACAAACCAGTACAGACCATCACAGACCAGTCCAGACCATCACAGACCAGTACAGGCCATCACAGACCAGTACAAACCATCACAGACCAGTACAGGCCATCACAGACCAGTACAGACCATCACAGACCAGTGTGGACCATCACAGACCAGTACAAACCACTACAAACCAGTACAGACCATCACAGACCAGTACAGGCCATCACAGACCAGTACAGGCCATCACAGACCAGTACAGGCCATCACAGACCAGTACAGGCCATCACAGACCAGTACAGACCATCACAGACCAGTAAATAGTGAAAGAGTGGTTCAGGGACGATGAGACACCAGAGAGCCCAGACCTTAACCCCACTGAGAATCTTTTGGATGTGCTGGAGAAGTCTTGGTGCAGCGGTCAGAGTCTGCCATCCTCAGTGCTAGATCTTGGTGGAACATTAATGCAACGCTGGATGGAGATGAATCTGGAGCGGAGCAAAGAGAACGTGAGGGATTACATCTCTGCAACAAACAGGATAGTAGGCTGAAGCTAGCCCATTCAAGGATTTAAAAACCAGTAGAAGGAAGGACTTCCTTCTGAGTGGATGAATGAGTTCCTCATCCTTGGTGGTGATGAGGATGTTTGCAGGAACCGAACATCTGAGGAGAGAGTGTTCTGGTTCTGCTTTACTCTGACTCAGCGCTGGTCCTGCAGCAGGAAAACCTCCCACCCCGGTGCAGGAACAGCAGAGGCAGAACAAGACTACTGGGAATTGTCAGCAGGATTCCTGAATCCAGCAGAACACAGAACCGTTTCAGATCAATGGACGTTCCATATTTCAACCCGAAACAAGTCAGGAGGCCGAGAAACCTCAGCAGCAGCATCACAGTGATGGTCAGGATCATGTGGAAGGCTCTCCGCCTGGACTGGTCCGTCTGACCCTCCCCCGGTCCTGGAACAGTCAGACCTCGGAGAACGGAGAAGCAGCAGAAAAAGATGATCGATATGCACACGGCTAGGATGGAGAAGAAAGGAATGGTAGGGAACTTGGGCAGGTAGACCTTAATGACCCCAACCCAGCTGAAGATCAGCAGCCAAACACAAATGGTGCTGACGTTCCGGATCCAGACTCCGTGGGATTCCCTCTTGTGCATGTAGGTTATGGGGTGGACCACGGCCAGGTAGCGCTCCACACAGGTGAGCACGTGGAACAAGGTCTGTCCAGGTAGAATAAAGCAGAGTGAAAACAGGCCCAGCTGGAACATCAGCTGGATGTTGGTGAAGTTTCCAATCTGAAAGCAAACAATTCCCAACACACAAACGATCTCTGGGATCATCATGTTGAAGGTGAAGAAGTCGGAGTGGCTGATCCTCGTCCCGGCACACGTGGAGCGCTGACGCCTCCATCGCTGGAAGCCCAGGTAGAGGATGAGGAGGTAGAGCGGCAGGAGGAGGAGGGCGCTGATGGAGGTGTACAGGAGCCAGATGACCCGTCTGTCTACAGAGGGGGAGCAGGAGAAGTAGAAAGGGAGCATGGAGGAGTTGGAGGAGGGGAGGAGGAGAGGAGGAAGGATGCTGAGGGAGGAGGACGAGTTGTTGGACATGACCTGTGGAGGTCAACAGAAGACAAAAGTTTCAACAACAGTAGGAAGGTTCATGAGCCGTCTGACTCAGCAGGTCATCACGTACGCTGATGATGGTCAGGTCTCCGTCAGCAGTCCTGGTTCTCCGAGCCGTCCTCCTGCAGGAACAAACGGGAATCTGTTACAGAACTCACTGTTCTTGATTTGTTCCTCACACTTGTTCTTTATGTCTTGTGTTTAGGTAGTTGTGTCCTGTCCAGTTAGTTTGTGCCCTTCGTGCTTCCTCGCCACACCTCATCACTCCATGTTTTAGGAGATGAGTCGACGTTCTACTAGTGATGTAGTTTAGAACAGCATCCATCCATCTTGTTCCATGCGCCCACCCCAGTCCTAAAGGTATCAGGTCAAGGAGGAATCCCAGACCTTCACCTCCACAGAGACACATTCTCTAGCTCCTCATGCTCCAGAACCTCCTCTCAGTGTCTGGCGAAGGGAGGGAGGAGAGGAGATGTCTCCATCTCTACTCTAACCTGAGCCTGGCCTCCTTACAGAGGAAGATCCTTTCAGAACATTGGACCCAGGATCTTGAACGAGGGGTGGATGGATCATGAAAGCTCTAGCGGGTCATGAGATTTAGCTTTCAGCTCCTTCTTCTCCAGAACAGGTAGAACGATTCAGGAGAAGTCCTGATCTGGTGGCCCGTCTCTCCTCCATCCTCCCACTCAGGAACAGGACACCAGAACTCGTCGTGTTAGGCCGAAGGCTGGGATGGAGCAGCAGTCCACCTTTTCAGTCAGAATTTAGACGCTTGATGCCCTTGTTGCATCATGATGAAGCTCTGACCTCATTTAACATGTTAAAGGTCAAAGTTCATGCAGCCTAGTTTCTTCATTCCTTTCAATTCAGTTCAAGTTTATTTATATAAAACCAAATCACAACAAGAGTCGTCTCAAGGACCTTCACACAGTAAACATTCTAATTCAGGTCAGTTCATTAAGCCAATCAGAAATAATGTTTCCTATATAAGGAACCCAGCAAATTGCATCAAGCCACTGACTAGTGTCAGTGACTATACAGCTATCCTCATACTAAGCAAGCATGCAGCGACAGTGGAGAGGAAAACTCCCTTTTAACAGGAAGAAACCTCCAGAGGATCCTGGCTCAGTATAAGCAGCCATCCTCCACGACTCACTGGGGATCGAGAAGACAGAGCAGACACACACACACACACACACACACACACACACACACACACACACACACACACACACGCACACACACACACACACGCACACGCACGCACACCAAGTAGTGTTTCTATGGTTACATTGTGATTTCTTAGTAAGCATTCTATTAGGTGAGAGATAAACTTTACTGTATGTATCCTAGTGGATCTATAATTAAACGGGTAAACTAGTAGTAGCACATCCAACGTCAAAGAGAGTTCATGTTATGATCAGGAGAGAGAGAATGTTTAAGTGGTCAGAAACAAGTTCCTTCAAGGAGAAACGTTTAATTTTCCAGTCCTGAAACGTTCCGACTAACTTGATTCATGATGCGTTTAGCTTTGTAGCTCAGACAACAGAACAGCTGTACAGCTGTTTATTTACCTGTTTAAGGTACAAATATCCAATCTGACATAATAAAAACTTTATTAGTCCTTCAGAGGACAACAAATCATTTCTGATGAATAAAACGAGGTAGATTTACCGGATCAGACGACAGTTTCCTCCAGAACTCCTGGTGGGTTTCCGCTGCTGGGTGGTGGGGCAGGTTCTGGTGGAATATAAGCAGCTGGGGGGGGGGGGGGGGGGTTGTTGGTATGAAACTGAATCTGATGCAGGTTTAAATGTCATTGATGTTCTCGTGTTCAGGACCAAACCCAAATCCTCTCACTGACACGAGTCAACATGCAAAAGGAACCGGCGTCAGGTGACTCGCCCATGCAAAAATATCAGGACAACAGCCAGGGTCAAAGGTCACCAGCTCAAACACACGCTGAGTTTGATGAATCTAATCAGGATGAATCTAAAACCAGCTCCAGCCAGAGGTCCTGCTGCTGGTCGGCTTGATGGAACATCTGGAAGGTGGACTCGGGGGACCTCAGTGCTGTGGAGATGTTGTGAGGAACATCTGGAGCAGATGAAACCCGTGTGAGTTTTTAAATACTAAAGAACATCAGCTTCCCCATCATAGAGAGACATCTTTGGAGATGTTTCTCTGGAGCGTTCTACCGGTGAATCAAACTTGATCAAACTGGTTCTTGAGCGTTTTCAACAACCAAACCTTTCTGGTTCAGAATGCCGTTTGAATCAGACGGATGCAGATTTGAATATGCTGATCGCTGCTGCTGTCGTGAGACTGTTATCCCGTGTAACTCAAGCCCAGACGTCCTTGCCTGCGTCGTGTTCTGTAAACAACCTGCTGCAGGTTTGTTTACAGATGCTTTGTCTCTGCTCCAGCCGGCCCGTCGGCTTTGTTTAACCTCCTGAAACGCTCTTGAATCTAAATGTTTTAGTTGTTTATTGTTTTCTTTTAAAATGTAATTGTTGTTTTTATGTTCATGAGAAGTTAAAGCTTGGGTCTGAATGAATTTTTTTGTTTATCAAAAGAAGAAATTATTACATTTTAGGATTCTGTGAATAACTCCGTGTCTGTAGCTATTTTAATGCACCAATAAACCACATTTATGTTTTCAGTTGCATTTGATATGAAAATGTCTTTCTGTCACTTTTCCTATTTTAATTCTATAAACATATGTTTACTGTATCAATGTTGTGTTTTACATCTGTTTCTATTGTTGTTTCTGGTCTCATTGTGTGTGTGTGTGTGTGTGTGTGTGTGTGTGTGTGTGTGTGTGTGTGTGTGTGTGTGTGTGTGTGTGTGTGTGTGTGTGTGGATGTTGTTGATTATAAATGTTTTGCTGTTGTGGGAATAGTCTCATAAATAGTTTATGTTGCTCTCTTTGATGCGTTGTGATCTTTTATGCATGTTTGGGATGTTGTGAGTCTCTGTAGGATTTCTTAATTTGTTTATTATTTTAAAAATGTCTCATTAGTTTTACAAATAGATGCCGTTCCTGTTTTTTATTAGACATTAAAAGCGTGTGTTGTTGATATTGCTGATGATTTATTTAAATCATATCTTCGTGGTAATATCTTTATTTTTAACGCACGACTTCATCATTTTTAAATCAAACCAGATTTCTAAACGGACAGTTTAAAAAAAGCGGAACAGGTTTTGTGTGTTTCCAGTCGGACCGGTTTTACCAACACACATGCGCACCTTGAACTCAACAACAAACTGAAGTGTTTCTCGTCTCTTTCCGCTGAAAACCGAATAACTCGCTTTATGAGCGATGTCCGCTTTCCCGCCGTTACTTCGGGTGTCGCGTGCAGCCTCCGGGCGGCTGTCGCGCAGAGGAAGCGCAGGAAACAGTTTGTGTTTCAGAGCCAAATGTTTACGTCTCGCTTCGAGCCAACATGAACACTGCAGCAGCAGCAGGTGCTACACGAACGCCGCCGGGACTGGGACGGTTCGGATCGGCTGTGCTTCCGGGTTCTGGGGGGACACGGCTACGTCAGGTAACAGCTGAGGTCTCAGATACGTCATTTTAGCTGGTTTTTATTATGATGATTTTTTTAATGTAATTTTTATTTTATTTTACAAACATCGTTATTATGGTACAAATACTACATTAACTAGACAAACAGGAAAAAATAAACAGACAATAAAAACACCAAATGCGAGTTACAGAGTGATATTACATGCTTTATAAATTCTCATACTTTTTATGGCTTTCTTATTGGCCGAATCTGTTGTTGTTCTTATATAAACTTTGAGATCAGCAGCGAATAAAAAGGTTTAGTATTTGTAACATTGGATTTATGAATGTGGAATTTTGCAACAAACAGGATCAGATTTATGAAAAACACCTGAGATGAGTCCCTCACATCAACATCTGTGATGTCAAACTAAACATTTCTAAGTACAGTGAAAAGTTCGGTTTGTTTTTACACACCAGAGTTGCACTGTCCTTCCAGAAGGTCTGTGTATAAATACATTTTCAAAAAGGATGAATACACGTCTCTGGATGACATTTACAGAAAGAACAAGATCCGTCTACATCAGCTTTATATTTCTGAAGAAAGTGTTTTGTCGGGTAAAATCTGTGAATTAAAGGGGCATTATGGAAGTTTGACAGCCAAAACATGTATAGAAATAATAAATGTCTTCTTCATACATTCTCCTGCAATGCCCTGGTCCTGTAGAATGAGTCTGTAGAAGGTCTCTCTTAGTCCCACCAGTCTCACTTTGTTTCGCCTGCTGTGGTTCTCGAGGGCGTGTATCCGGTTCCACATCGTCTCCATTTGTTTGTTCCCACTTTCCTTATCTTTCTGAAGCCGTTCTGACGTCTCCTCCAGCTGCATAATTCACGTTTCGACCTCACCGAGCCTCTCCTGCATTGCTGTCACCGTCGTAGTTAGCTCGGCAGTAGCCTGTTTAATAGACACGATATCTGTCGCGACATTCTGGAGCATTTCACTCATTTTCTATATTTCTGCAAAAAGTCTTTCCAGGCTGACTGTCGCAGTCGTGGATGCTGGGTTTTCTCCTGTATCGCTGTTGTCTTCGTGGACCTGGCCTTTCCGGGTACACGCTCGTGACGAGCTTTTAAAATATTTCGACGACGTCGTTATAGCTTTGTAGTCTTGTCAGACTAAATATCAAACGTACGCAGACTCAGTATTCCACCAGTATAGTTGCATTTTTCAGCTAAAATCCTGTTAGTAGCAGGGCTAAGGGCTATAGGAACCTTTTAAAAACAGCTGCATCATCAGCCAGTTGACTTATGGAGACAACTCGACCTGCAATACTAATTCCCTGTAACGAGCTGAATATTTAAAATCTCTGCTGCTAACAGAAAAAGATGCGGACACAGAGGCCATCCCTGTGGAACACCCCGTTGAAGAGTAAACCTAGGAGACGTACCAAAAGGCAGTTTAACAGAGCTACAGTATTCCCTCCCACATACAGCATTTGTACACTCCAAATCCAAACCTCCTAAGTGTAGTTAGCATAAAGTCATGCTCTAATGTATCATATGCTTTATAAAAATCCAGAAAGAGAATCAAACTATTGTCAGTCAGTTCTGGGGGGACACGGCCACGTCAGGTAACAGCCGAGGTCTCAGATACGTCATTTTTACCGGTTTGGACATTTAAGCGGCCGGAAACCAAAACTTTTTCTATTGACTTCCTGCGTGGTTACCTGAGAAGGGTTTGTGTCTGAGCTCCCAGAGCCCCAAAAGGCCCATAGAGCCCAGGTGGGCCCCCCAAACCCCTTTACATCTAGTCTAGCTTACCAGACTTGTCCTCTGTTTAATTCTGTACAGAGAACTCTGTGCAGAATTAAATAGAGCCAGGCTGCTTTACATCCCTATAGCCCTCAATACCCCCCCCCCCACACACACACACACACACACACACGCGCACACACACACACACACACACACACACACACACACACACACACACACACAGTAACAGGACCCTAACCAGGACAGCAGCTCTTTGTTGCTATTTTTGTTTGTTTGTTTTATGTGTTACTTCCTGTTTCCATCTCTGTTGGTTTAGTGAAACTTTTTGTCTTCCCCTTGTTTTGTGAATCATGGACTTTTGCTCCTTTTAGGCTTGCCTGTGGGTGGTTTTTTTATGTATTCTGATTCCTTTTTCATTACATCAGTCATTATTTTCCCTTTTGTTGTGGTGTTGGTTTTTTTGTAGTTATGATTTCATTTCGTCTCTCTGTGGTCACAGCCAGATGTTCTGGGTCAGCTCCTGACCTGGTTATGTTTAGATTCTGCATAGTCAAAAGTAACTGTGAGATTCCTAAAACCTTTTAGTGCTCTTTCCACTCGCAGTCCATGTCTAGGTGTCTTGAGTCCACATCTAGGTGTCCTGAGTCCACATCTAGGTGACCCTCTGACTGGACCTGACTCAGTCATCCATGTCTGTGTTTAGTTCCCCAGCTGATCTACGGTGGGAATCTGGACTTCCTGGTTTTTGACTACCTCAGTGAGATCACCATGTCCCTGCTGACCGCCGCCAGGACCAAGGCCCCTGTGAGTCTCTTCTGTTTGTCCCGACCATTGAGAGACAGCAACATGTAACTGTAACCTGTAACTGCAACATGTAACAGTAACTGTAAATGTAACATAAAAGTGTAACAGTAACATGTAACATTAACATGTAACTGTAACATGTAACAGTAACTGTAACCTTAACTGTAACATGCAAGTGTAACATGGAGGTGTAAAATGTAAGTGCAACAGTAACTTGTAACATTAACATGTAACAGTAACATCTAACTGTAACATGTAATAATAACTGTAACATGTAATGCTAACAGTAGCATGTCACAGTAACATATAGCCGTAACATGTAACTGTAACTCTTCCGGAACTGCCCTGCTCTGGGAGGCTGCATGTTGGAGTAGCTCTGTTGACTATATGTAAGTTTTGCTTATTTTTTGGAAAATTTTTCTTCTAGTTTCTCAAGAAAAACTGTATTTTTTGGACATTTTACTTTTCTGTTTCTGGTGCTGTGAAGCTTAGAGGATTTTTACTGCTATTTTTTCACTTGTTTCACTTTTTGAGCATTTGTTATGATGCGTAACCATGGCAACAAGCTGGCTTACAATCGGGAGCAGCTGATTAACATTGGAAAGGCTGAAAGAATACCTCAACTGAAGCCACAAATTCCAAATGAGCTAAAACGCAAGAAGCGTGGGTGCAGAGCGGGAGCAAAACTGAGACAGAGAAAGAGGAAATTCAAACCATCTCTTCCATCGATCATAATGGGCAATGTGAGATCACTGGCCAACAAGATGGATGAACTCCAAGCTTTTTCAAGGACTCAGCCAGAGTATCAGCAGTGTAGTGTTATGTGTTTCACTGAGACGTGGCTGCAGGATCATATCCCCGATTCCAGAGTCTCTCTGCCAGGATTCCTAACTGTACGAGCAAACAGAGATCTGAAGAGGAGCGGGAAAAGAAAAGGAGGTGGAGTGGCAGTGCTTGTGCTCTCTGCTACACTTCCAACATTTCAACATTTCAGCTGCTCCACCAGAGAAAACAAGACATTGGATTTGTGTTATGCAAATGTAAAGAATGCATACATGTCCAAAACAAGACCTCCTCTGGGACAATCAGATCACAGTCTTGTTTTTCTCTACTCAGAATACAAACCACTTGTTCAGAGGCAACCTGTGACAAGAACTGTGGGAAAATGGTCACAGGATGCTGAAGAAGCCCTGCAGGGTTGTTTTGAGACCACAGATTGGATGACTCTCTGCCAAGGATATGAAGAGGACATCAATGCCATGACTGGATGTGTCACTGACTATATAAACTTCTGTGTGGACAACATCATACCCACCAGAACAGTGAGATGCTTTGCTAATAACAAACCCTGGATCACCAGTGAACTGAAGAATCTGCTAAATGAGGAAAAAAAGAGCCTTCAGTGAGGGAGACAGGGAATTATTGAGGAGTATACAGAAGCAACTTAAGATCAAGATCAGAGACAGCAAGGAGGCATACAGGAAGAAGCTGGAGAGCAAACTACAGAGGAACAATATCAGAGATGTCTGGTCAGGGATGAAGAAGATCACAGGCTTCAAGCAGAGGAAGGACTGCACAGATGGCAGCCTGGACACAGCCAATGAACTGAACAAGTTCTTCAATAGGTTCAGTTCAGGAACAAACCCAGCATCCTCTTCGCCTGTCCCCAGCCAATCAGACATCCCATCCTCCTCTGATACAACATTTTCCTGTCACACGCCAGCTCTTTTGTCCTCTAACGCAGTCATGGACTCTTCTGGTTCTATAAATCCGTCTTTAACCAAGACAGGAGATGCTGCTGCCCCATTTACCTCCCCCTCACACCTATCTGTCTTTAGAAGTCAGGTGAAGAGGCAGCTGGAGAGACTGAACAGGAACAAGGCTGCAGGACCAGATGGTGTCAGCCCCAGGGTACTGAAGGCCTGTGCAGAGCAGCTCTGTGGGATTCTGCAGCACCTCTTCAACCTCAGCCTGGCCCAGGAGAAGGTTCTAGTCCTGTGGAAGACATCCTGCCTTGTTCCAGTTCCAAAGAAAACTCGCCCATCAGTCAATGACGACTACAGACCGGTTGCCCTGACATCCCACATCATGAAGGTCCTGGAGAGACTCCTGTTGGTCCACCTGAATAAGCAAACTAGGACATATCAGGACCCGCTGCAGTTTGCTTATCGCCATGGAGTTGGAGTCGAAGATGCCATCATCCAGCTGCTTCAACCAATCCACTGTCATCTGGACAAAGCAGGCAGCACTGTGAGGGTCATGTTCTTTGATTTCTCCAGTGCATTTAACACAATCCAGCCTGATGTACTTTGCCAGAAACTCCAGAAGACACAGGTGGGGGCCTCAACTATCACCTGGATTAAAGACTACCTGACAAACAGACCACATTTTGTGAGTTTGAAGAACTGCATATCAAACCAGGCGATCAGTAACATTGGAGCACCACAGGGGACTGTACTCTCACCGTTCCTTTTCACCCTGTACACCTCAGACTTCCAGTACAAGTCAGAGACCTGTCATCTACAGAAATACTCAGATGACTCTGCAGTTGTCGGGTGTATCAGAGGTGGACAGGAAGCTGAGTACAGACAGCTGGTGGAGCGCTTTGTGGCATGGTGTGGAAACAATCATCTGACCTTGAACGTGAACAAAACAAAGGAGATGATTTTAGACTTCAGAAGAAACAGGGTGGAGTCAAACACTGTTTCCATCATGGGAGAAGAAGTGGAGGTGGTTGAGGAGTACAAATACCTTGGAGTTCACCTGGACAACAGACTGGACTGGAGAAAGAACAGTGAAGCCGTTTACAAGAAGGGACACAGCAGACTGCACTTCTTGAGGACGCTTGGGTCCTTCAATGTCTGTAGCAAGATGCTGCAGATCTTCTACAAGTCTGTTGTTGAGAGTGTAATCTCTTCAGCCATCGTCTGTTGGGGTAGCAGCATCAGAAGCAGGGACCTGAAAAGGCTCAACAGCCTAATAAAAAAGGCTGGTTCTGTTCTGGGGACGACTGTGGAACCACTGGAGGAGATAATGCAAAGAAGGATTCTCCAGAGAATCAAGAACATGATGGACAACCCTGAGCATTTTCTTCACAAGACTGTCCGACAACGGAAGAGTGTCTTCAGTCAGAGGCTTCTTCAGTTTGGCTGCAACACTGACCGCTACTGGAGATCCTTCCTGCCAACAGCCATTGTAATATACAATAACTCTTTGATGACTTGATTATTATTATTATGAGCTACTACAGCAATCAATTTCCCTCTGGGATTAATAAAGTATTTTTGAATTGAATTGAATAACATGTAACAGTAACATGTACATGTAATATGTAACAGTAACATGTCACTGTAACATGTAACGGTAACAGTAACAGGTCACAGTAACATGTAACAGTGTTTTACCTGCTTCAGTAACCTCTGACCTTTAACAGCCTGTAGGAGGTGGAGTTTTACCTGCTTCGGTAACCTCTGACCTTTAACAGCCTGTAGGAGGTGGTGTTTTACCTGCTTCGGTAACCTCTGACCTTTAACAGCCTGTAGGAGGTGGTGTTTTACCTGCTTCGGTAACCTCTGACCTTTAACAGCCTGTAGGAGGTGCTGCTTTACCTGCTTCGGTAACCTCTGACCTTTAACAGCCTGTAGGAGGTGGTGTTTTACCTGCTTCGGTAACCTCTGACCTTTAACAGCCTGTAGGAGGTGGTGTTTTACCTGCTTCGGTAACCTCTGACCTTTAACAGCCTGTAGGAGGTGGTGTTTTACCTGCTTCGGTAACCTCTGACCTTTAACAGCCTGTAGGAGGTGGTGTTTTACCTGCTTCGGTAACCTCTGACCTTTAACAGCCTGTAGGAGGTGGTGTTTTACCTGCTTTGGTAACCTCTGACCTTTAACAGCCTGTAGGAGGTGCTGCTTTACCTGCTTCGGTAACCTCTGACCTTTAACAGCCTGTAGGAGGTGGTGTTTTACCTGTTTCGGTAACCTCTGACCTTTAACAGCCTGTAGGAGGTGGTGTTTTACCTGCTTCGGTAACCTCTGACCTTTAACAGCCTGTAGGAGGTGGTGTTTTACCTGCTTCGGTAACCTCTGACCTTTAACAGCCTGTAGGAGGTGGTGCTTTACCTGCTTCGGTAACCTCTGACCTTTAACAGCCTGTAGGAGGTGGTGCTTTACCTGCTTCGGTAACCTCTGACCTGTAACAGCCTGTAGGAGGTGGTGTTTTACCTGCTTCGGTAACCTCTGACCTTTAACAGCCTGTAGGAGGTGGTACTTTACCTGCTTCGGTAACCTCTGACCTTTAACAGCCTGTAGGAGGTGGTGTTTTACCTGTTTCGGTAACCTCTGACCTTTAACAGCCTGTAGGAGGTGGTGTTTTACCTGCTTCGGTAACCTCTGACCTTTAACAGCCTGTAGGAGGTGGTGTTTTACCTGCTTCGGTAACCTCTGACCTTTAACAGCCTGTAGGAGGTGGTGCTTTACCTGCTTCGGTAACCTCTGACCTTTAACAGCCTGTAGGAGGTGGTGCTTTACCTGCTTCGGTAACCTCTGACCTTTAACAGCCTGTAGGAGGTGGTGCTTTACCTGCTTCGGTAACCTCTGACCTTTAACAGCCTGTAGGAGGTGGTGCTTTACCTGCTTCGGTAACCTCTGACCTTTAACAGCCTGTAGGAGGTGGTGCTTTACCTGCTTCGGTAACCTCTGACCTTTAACAGCCTGTAGGAGGTGGTGCTTTACCTGCTTCGGTAACCTCTGACCTTTAACAGCCTGTAGGAGGTGGTGTTTTACCTGCTTCGGTAATCTCTGACCTTTAACAGCCTGTAGGAGGTGGTGTTTTACCTGCTTCGGTAACCTCTGACCTTTAACAGCCTGTAGGTGGTGGTGCTTTACCTGCTTCGGTAACCTCTGACCTTTGACAGCCTGTAGGAGGTGGTGTTTTACCTGCTTCGGAAACCTCTGACCTTTGACAGCCTGTAGGAGGTGGTGTTTTACCTGCTTCGGAAACCTCTGACCTTTAACAGCCTGTAGGAGGTGGTGTTTTACCTGCTTCGGTAACCTCTGACCTTTAACAGCCTGTAGGTGGTGGTGCTTTACCTGCTTCGGTAACCTCTGACCTTTAACAGCCTGTAGGAGGTGGTGTTTTACCTGCTTCGGAAACCTCTGACCTTTGACAGCCTGTAGGAGGTGGTGTTTTACCTGCTTCGGTAACCTCTGACCTTTAACAGCCTGTAGGTGGTGGTGCTTTACCTGCTTCGGAAACCTCTGACCTTTGACAGCCTGTAGGAGGTGGTGTTTTACCTGCTTCTGTAACCTCTGACCTTTGACAGCCTGTAGGTGGTGGTGCTTTACCTGCTTCAGTAACCTCTGACCTTTAACAGCCTGTGGGAGCTATTTGCCTCCCACAGTTGAAACTTGTAATGACTTTCTTCACTTTTTTGTTGATAAGGTTACAGCTATTTGAGCTGCCATTACAAACTCACCACCTGACTCTCTACTCCCAGAGCCGCTCCAGGCTACACTGGAAACATTTGAGACTGTTACATTATCAGACTTGGAAAAACTGGTCGCTCAGCTCAAACCTTCTGGCTCTCCTTGTGATGTGCTGCCCCCTAGAATTTATAAAGAACTCTTTCCAGTGATAGGCCCTTTGCTGTTGGCAATCATAAATGGCAGTCTTACTTCTGGTATGGTTCCGTCCTCGTTTAAGAAGGCTGTTATTCATCCCATGTTAAAAAAAACCGGGGCTGGATGTGACAACCTTAGCTAATTACAGGCCCATCTCAAAACTCCCTTTTCTTTCCAAACTGCTGGAGAAGGTCGTGTATTCACAATTGGTTGCCTTTTTGGACACACATGATTTATGGGAAACCTTTCAGTCAGGGTTCAGGAAAGGTCACAGCACTGAATCTGCTCTTTTAATGGTTTTTAATTACACGTTTTTAGCCTGTGACATGGACAATGATGTTGTTCTGCTATTGCTTGACTTATCTGCAGCTTTCGATACAGTCGACCACGAAGTCCTTCTGGACTGACTACAGCATTGGGTGGGGATAACTGGACAGGCCCTCCAATGGCTTCGCTCTTATCTTCAAGACAGGACATTTAGTGTTCAGATGGGTGAGGTAACGTCACCCAGCGTGAAACTTCGTTGGGGTGTGCCACAGGGCTCTGTCCTTGGTCCTCTCCTATTTGCAGTGTATTTGCTTCCTCTTGGAGTCCTCCTTCGCCAGCATAATATGAAATTTCATTTCTTTGCTGATGACTGCCAGATCTATCTCCCTCTTCAACGTGGGGAGGATAGATCTGTTTCTCCTTTACTGGATTGCTTGAAGGACATAAAATGCTGGATGGCTTCTAATTTTTTGCACCTAAATGAGAGCAAAACGGAAGTCATAATACTTAGTCCTGGCAGAAGAAATGGCTCTGGTGCTGATATTGACCTTGGCCCATTGACACCCTATGAAAAGAAAATGGTCAGTAATTTAGGGATTAAAATCGACTCAGCACTTAATCTTGACACTCATGTAAATACAGTGGTGAGGTCCTGTTTCTTTAACTTGAAAAGACTATCCAGGATCAGGCCTCTGCTGTCCTGAGCTCATCTGGAGTCTGTGTTGCATGCCTTCGTCCTGTCCCGGCTGGACTACTGCAACGCTCTGTATGCTGGTCTGGCCCAGTGCACGGTTGCACGGCTCCAGTTTGTGCAGAACTCTGTGGCTAGGTTCCTGACAGGCACTAGATGTCGAGAGCACATTACCCCAGTGCTGGATGCTCTGCACTGGCTCCCGGTAAAATATCGAGCTCTGTTTAAAATCTTAACTCTCGTTTATAAGGCCCTCCAGGGCAGTGCCCCCTCGTACATTACTGCGCTTTTGAACAGGTATGCTCCATCTCGGTCTCTTTGCTCAGCCGAGCAGGAACTTCTGGTGGTCCCCCGGTCGAAATTTCGATCGAGGGGTAGTCATGCTTTTTCTATTTTGGCTCCAACTCTGTGGAACGAATTGCCACTGAGCATTAGGCAGGCACCATCCCTTCAAGTCTTTAAGTCTCGTTTAAAGACTCATTTTTATCTGATTGCGTTTCAGCGCTAGGGTCATTTGAATTGCCCTGACATTCTGGTTTTAACTATTCTTCTTTTTAACCCAGATGCTTGATTTTATTTTGTCCGACATTTGTTTTTTTTATCGATTAGTCTTATTCCAATATCTCTTATCTGTAATGCTGTTCGCTTGCTATTTTATGATTTTATGTTTTTATCCTGCTTTTATGCCCATGTATTGAGAATGTTTTTCTTTTAATGATGTTGTTCAGCACCTTGGGCTTCGGATAATGTTGTAGAAGGTGCTATACAAATAAAATTTGATTGATTGATTGATTGATTGTAGGAGGTGGTGTTTTACCTGCTTCAGTAACCTCTGACCTTGAACCCTCCTGTAGGACCTAGGTTACGCTCCAGACTTCGTCCACGTGGCGTTGGCTCCGTTCATCAATGACATCCACAGGAATGGTGAGCTCATAGTGACCCAAGGGCAAGCTTCAGTCTCCATGGAAACAGTCAGTCCCGCCTCTCTCCTCCTCAGGTATCCGAGTCGTCAGCAACGCGGGAGGGGTCAACCCGCTGGCCTGCGCTGAAGCAATACAGGAAGTGGTCAGGAAGGCTGGGCTCGACCTTAAGGTTGCCGTGGTGACCGGCGATGACCTCATGCCCCAGGTATGCCCCTTCGCTTTGCTGTGACATCATCATGACGGCATGTTTTGGATATGGAGTAATGTGAGCTGATTTCCTGCCCTCCTCTTCATCAGAGGAGCCTCCTGTCTAAAGTAAAGATGGCTGACGGCGGCAGACAGGCGCTTCCGAGAACGCTGCACAGCATGAACGCTTACCTGGGGTAGGGAGACGCAGGACGGAGTTAGTCGCACACATCCAGAGACTCGAGTCTGGAGCTAATATAGCACCGTCCAAATATTTTATTAAATGTTGGAAACAAACGGGGAACCGGAAGTGTTTTATAAGACCTCCCACCCAGGCTGGACTTAGCTCTGATTGGACATTGGGACTCAGATGAAAGCGCCCAATCAGAGTGTCTCCAGCTGTCCTATGAGCCAATCAGGTTCAAGCATCATTTAATCCTGTTTTAGGTCAGATTGAACCCATTAGACCTGTTCAGGTATCAGAACCGTGTGACTTGTCGTCTCGGGTCAGCGGTCCTGACTCTGCTGACCTGTCTGTTCAGGGCCGGGCCGATCCGGCGCTGCCTGGACCTGGGAGCCCACATCGTGGTGACGGGACGCTGCGTGGACAGCGCCGTGGCTCTTGGACCGCTCATGCACTGGGTAGGTCTGTTCGCCCATCTCCATCAGAGATCTGGTCCAGAACTAGAATCTGCTGCTGGTTCTGGACCCACTGACAGGGTTCTGGTGAGGATCGCAACCTTTTGTTGGTTGGAAGTGGTTTTTAAATGGTGACGTGTTTACTGTGAGGTCCGGATCAGGCCTGGTTCTGGTTCTGACCTCTGTGTTTCTGCTGCAGTTTGGATGGAGCAGCACTGAGTTTGACCTGCTGGCAGCTGGAAGGTAGGAGCACCCAAACATCGTTGTTGTTTGTGACGTGTTTGTGGTTCTGACCCGATCCTGTGGCGCTGCAGCCTGGCGGGTCACCTGATCGAGTGTGGAGCTCAGAGCACCGGAGGGATTTTCACCGACTGGCACCGAGTTCCCGACTGGTGAGGAGAACCCGGGTTCGGGTTTGCTGAATGGTTCATGAGGAGGACCTGAGCAGGTGTGACGCCTCAGCTCTCTGACCCGTTGCCAGGGACAACGTGGGCTTCCCGGTGGTCCAGTGTTCTGCGGACGGTTCCTTCCTTCTCTCCAAACCTCCGAGGACCGGCGGTCTGGTGTCCTTCGGGACCGTCGCTGAGCAGCTGGTGTACGAGATCGGAGACCCGCGGAGGTACCTGCTGCCTGATGTCACCTGTGACTTCAGCCAGGTGCAGATCCAGGAAGTACCAGGTACACACACACACACACACACACACACACACTGAGGATCTGACCGCAGTTTGAACCTCTGACTGTTTTTCTAACCCTGGACCCTCCTCTGGAGCTGCTGGCCCTCTGGCTGAACCGCTCACCCTGCTCTGAACCTCCTCTGGTCCTCCTCTGAACTTCTGAACCTCCTCTGGTCCTCCTCCTAACCTCCCCCTATCAGAAGCTGCTCCCTCCTTAACCTAAACACGGCTCCGTCGGCCTCAGCTGAACCCATCCAGTGCAGCGTCTAACCTTCACACGAACTCGAGACCTCCTGCTGAACCTCTGCTCTGATTAAGGCGCCTCCTTAGCCTGCTGTGGTCATTAATCCAGGAGCGACCCACGCTCCCAGCTCTCCGGGGTAAATATGACCTCAGATCACATGGAGGTGTTTACATTTGGAGTAAATGTAGAATATTTCTCAGCAGCAGCTGAACCCATAACTCAGTCTGACCCGGTTCTGATCCCAGAGCAGCTGCTGGTGCTGGTTCCTACTCCACGTTAGCCCAGATCTGATCTGAGTCCAGATCTGAGCCTGTCATGCTGAAGCTCCTCAGAGTCTGTTACACGTGATGATGGTGATCCTCATCATCATCATCATCACCTCCTCCAGATGGGGTGAACTCACAGAGCTGAAGGGACGTGCAGCTCCTGCAGGAGAAGCAGGAGATCATGTGACTCTCAGAGGAATCTGGAGGGCGAGCGTCGGGCCCTGACAGCTGTGATCCATCTCCTGTAGGCTGGACTCGTTCCTCGAAGCACTGGTGCATTCTGGGATTGCTCTTCTCATGAAGAACGGGTCAGAATCTCCCTGAGCGCGGTTCTGACTCCTGGACGTGAACTTTTAGCTCCACCAGCTTGTAAACATGTGGGTGTGATGGAGGAGGGCTGAACTCCAGAAGCCGCTCTGTCTCCACGGCGACCCGTCTCTGGGATCAGCTGTCATCTGTCAACAGCAGCGAGACGGGAACGCTGACCGCAGACGGGTCCAGTTCACGCGGGGGCGAGGGGGTGAAGACAGGACCAGGGGGAGCCATTAATGGTGTGTGTGTGTGTGTGTGCGTGCTGGTGTGTGTGTGTGTGTGTGTGTGTTTCAGGTGTAGAAGGTGGAGCAGTCAGAGTCACAGGAGCTAAAGGTTTCCCTCCATCTCACGATTACAAGGTGACTCGTCTTCTGTGTTTAACCTGTCCCTAACACGTCTCTGTCGTGTCTCACCTGTCCCTAACCCGTCTCTGTCGTGTCTCACCTGTCCCTAACACGTCTCTGTCGTGTCTCACCTGTCCCTAACCCGTCTCTGTCGTGTCTCACCTGTCCCTAACACGTCTCTGTCGTGTCTCACCTGTCCCTAACACGTCTCTGTCGTGTCTCACCTGTCCCTAACCCGTCTCTGTCGTGTCTCACCTGTCCCTAACCCGTCTCTGTCGTGTCTCACCTGTCCCTAACCCGTCTCTGTCGTGTCTCACCTGTCCCTAACCCGTCTCTGTCGTGTCTCACCTGTCCCTAACCCGTCTCTGTCGTGTCTCACCTGTCCCTAACACGTCTCTGTCGTGTCTCACCTGTCCCTAACCCGTCTCTGTCGTGTCTCACCTGTCCCTAACACGTCTCTGTCGTGTCTCACCTGTCCCTAACCCGTCTCTGTCGTGTCTCACCTGTCCCTAACACGTCTCTGTCGTGTCTCACCTGTCCCTAACACGTCTCTGTCGTGTCTCACCTGTCCCTAACCCGTCTCTGTCGTGTCTCACCTGTCCCTAACACGTCTCTGTCGTGTCTCACCTGTCCCTAACCCGTCTATGTCGTGTCTCACCTGTCCCCAACATGTCTCTGTCGTGTCTCACCTGTCCCTAACACATCTATGTCGTGTCTCACCTGTCCCTAACCCGTCTCTGTCGTGTCTCACCTGTCCCTAACCCGTCTCTGTCGTGTCTCACCTGTCCCTAACATGTCTCTGTCGTGTCTCACCTGTCCCTAACCCGTCTCTGTCGTGTCTCACCTGTCCCTAACACGTCTCTGTCATGTCTCAGCTGTCCCTAACCCGTCTCTGTCGTGTCTCACCTGTCCCTAACACGTCTCTGTCATGTCTCAGCTGTCCCTAACCCGTCTCTGTCGTGTCTCACCTGTCCCTAACCCGTCTCTGTCGTGTCTCACCTGTCCCTAACACGTCTCTGTCATGTCTCAGCTGTCCCTAACCCGTCTCTGTCGTGTCTCACCTGTCCCTAACCCGTCTCTGTCGTGTCTCACCTGTCCCTAACCCGTCTCTGTCGTGTCTCACCTGTCCCTAACACGTCTCTGTCGTGTCTCACCTGTCCCTAACACGTCTCTGTCGTGTCTCACCTGTCCCTAACACGTCTCTATTGTGTCTCACCTGTCCCTAACACGTCTCTATTGTGTCTCAGCTGTCCCTAACACGTCTCTGTCGTGTCTCACCTGTCCCTAACACTTCTCTATTGTGTCTCACCTGTCCCTAACACGTCTCTATTGTGTCTCAGCTGTCCCTAACACGTCTCTGTCGTGTCTCACCTGTCCCTAACACGTCTCTATTGTGTCTCAGCTGTCCCTAACACGTCTCTGTCGTGTCTCACCTGTCCCTAACCCGCCTCTGTCGTGTCTCACCTGTCCCTAACCCGTCTCTGTCGTGTCTCAGCTGTCCCTAACACGTCTCTGTTGTGTCTCACCTGTCCCTAACACGTCTCTGTCGTGTCTCAGCTGTCCCTAACACGTCTCTGTCGTGTCTCAGCTGTCCCTAACACGTCTCTGTTGTGTCTCACCTGTCCCTAACACGTCTCTGTCGTGTCTCAGCTGTCCCTAACACGTCTCTGTCGTGTCTCACCTGTCCCTAACACGTCTCTATTGTGTCTCACCTGTCCCTAACACGTCTCTATTGTGTCTCAGCTGTCCCTAACACGTCTCTGTCGTGTCTCACCTGTCCCTAACACGTCTCTATTGTGTCTCACCTGTCCCTAACACGTCTCTGTCGTGTCTCACCTGTCCCTAACACTTCTCTATTGTGTCTCACCTGTCCCTAACACGTCTCTATTGTGTCTCACCTGTCCCTAACACGTCTCTGTCGTGTCTCACCTGTCCCTAACACGTCTCTATTGTGTCTCAGCTGTCCCTAACACGTCTCTGTCGTGTCTCACCTGTCCCTAACACGTCTCTATTGTGTCTCAGCTGTCCCTAACACGTCTCTGTCGTGTCTCACCTGTCCCTAACACGTCTCTGTCATGTCTCAGCTGTCCCTAACCCGTCTCTGTCGTGTCTCACCTGTCCCTAACACGTCTCTGTCGTGTCTCACCTGTCCCTAACACGTCTCTATTGTGTCTCAGCTGTCCCTAACACGTCTCTGTCGTGTCTCACCTGTCCCTAACACGTCTCTATTGTGTCTCAGCTGTCCCTAACACGTCTCTGTCGTGTCTCACCTGTCCCTAACCCGTCTCTGTCGTGTCTCAGCTGTCCCTAACACGTCTCTGTCGTGTCTCAGCTGTCCCTAACACGTCTCTGTCGTGTCTCAGCTGTTCCTAACACGTCTCTGTTGTGTCTCAGCTGTCCCTAACCTGTTCCTGTCCACCAGGTGTGCTCCACCTACATGGACGGTTTCAGAGCAACGGCGGTCTGTCCTGTCGGAGGACCGCGAGCTGCAGAGAAGGGCCGGCGGACGGCGGACAGCATCATCAGACGGTTTGTTGGACCCAGTCAGAATCAGACCGGTTCTGAAGTTGTTGTCCACCAGTAGAGACGCTCTGTTTTTGTAGGACCAGACGGATGTTCAACCAGCTGAGACTTGAAGACTTCTCCTCCGTCCACATCCAGGTCCTAGGAGCAGAGGACACCTACGGTCCACACGCCCGCTGTAAGGTACAGAAGGACACCGTGATGCAGCCGGAACAGAACCGGGTCGGTTCTGGAGCCTCCCTGACTCGGGTCTGTGTGTTTCAGGACTCCCGGGAGGCGGTTGTCTGGATGGCCGTCCACCACAGACAGAAGAAAGCTCTGGAGGTCTTCTCCAGGGAGGTGGCTCCGGCCGGAACCGGGATGGGTAAACGTCTTTGGGTTAAACCTCGATAGCCCATAAAAGCTCCTGCAGATGGACCAGAACCAGCAGCAGAACCACAGATTAGAGCTGAGTCTTAAGTGTGATGGTAGGACACGTCCAGCTGATCCGAGACAAGCCAGCATTTGTTTCCTGCTAATGAGGCGTCCAGAATCTGGATCACATGTCCCTCAGACAGGTCCTGGCTCTGAGACGGGCCTTTGTGAGGTTCTGAGGAGGGTCTTCACCCTGAGGGTTCTGCTAAATACCAGCTCCAGCTACGCTTCGTCAGGGACCAGAATGTCCCCCAGATCCTGGATGGGTTGTCCCCCAGTGATCTGTCCTCTGTGGTGGATTAGAGACGTCCATGCTGCTGATAAGGAGGGGTGGTGACCTCCTGAACCCGGGTTGGGTTTGGTTCTGGTTCAGCTCGGGTGACTCCTGCTCTCTGTCCTGTTTCATCCATACAGTACAGGAAGACGTCTTTTCTCACTTTGTCTCCACATTTTCAGCTCCTGGACTCACCGGCATAGTGGGCGGGCGACCCAAAGTGTGAGTAGCTATCATCAGAACCGCCTCTGGGTTAAACCGGGCCTCGGTACCGCCGTCTGCAGCAGGAGAAATGCTGCTAGTATCCTCAGAGGGTTTTATTTAGGAGGGTTTATCTGCTCCGGGCTCTTATTGTGAAGGATTTCAGTGGTAACTGGATAATAAAGATGGCCGACTGACTCATCTGATGATTCTGTTAGGTAAAGGTGTGTTCTGAACCTGCAGGTACTAAAGAACTTAAGAATGGGTCCTTCTGGCCTAATCTAGCTATAGCTGTTTTAGCTATAGCTGGTTTAGCATTAGCTGTCCTAGCGTTAGCTGTTTTAGTGTTAGCTGCTTTAGCTATAGCTGGTTTAGCATTAGCTGTTTTAGCTATAGCTGGTTTAGCATTAGCTGTCCTAGCGTTAGCTGTTTTAGTGTTGGCTGCTTTAGCTATAGCTGGTTTTGCATTAGCTGTTTTAGCTATAGCTGTTTAAGCAGTAGCTGCTTTAGCGTTTGCTGTTTTAGCATTAGCTGTTTTAGCTATAGCTGGTTTTGCATTAGCTGTTTTAGCTATAGCTGTTTAAGCAGTAGCTGCTTTAGCAATAGCTGTTTTAGCTATAGCTGGTTTTGCATTAGCTGTCCTAGCATTAGCTGTTTTAGTGTTAGCTGCTTTAGCTATAGCTGGTTTTGCATTAGCTGTTTTAGCATTAGCTGTTTTAGCTATAGCTGTTTTAGCATTAGCTGTTTTAGTTATAGCTGTTTAAGCATTAGCTGTTTTAGCATTAGCTATTTTAGCATTAGCTGTTTTAGCGTTAGCTGTTTTAGCGTTAGCTGTTTAAGCGTTAGCTGCTTTAGCGTTAGCTGCTTTAGCATTAGCTGGAACACAGATGGTCCATCAGAACCGTGCTGGACGTCCTCGTGTGGACGTCCTGTCCTCTGTTCTGAAGATGGACAGACCATAAACACATTCTCTAGTTCTTTCTCACCACACCTGTTGGACGATCAAGTGTCCACCATAACATTTAAGGAGCTGAAGTGTTTAACGGTAAACTCCTAACTAGTGGCCCCAGATGTTACCATGGTTACAGTGTTGACCATGTTTAGGCCACACCCACTTTTACTCCATCATAACAGCACGGAGTAGCTGGTTTGGTGTTTTATTACTTTGCTGGGACAGCAGTAGCTCAGAAGGTAGAGCGGGTTGTCCAGTAATTAGAAGGTTGCAGGTTCAATCCCGGCTCCCACCGGAGAATACTGCTGTTGTGTCCTTGGGCAAGACACTTAACCTGCGTCGCCTGCAGGCGGTGGTCGGAGGGACTGGTGGCACCTGTGTAAGGCAGGCCTCGCCTCTGTCAGTGCGCCGCATGGCAGCTGTGGCTACATTGTAGCTCATCATCACCAGCGTGTGAATGGATGAATGAGTGTTGTGAAGCACCTTGGGGGGTCGTTGAACCCTAGGGAGGCTACACAAATACAGGCTGTTTGTTACCGTAACGTTGTGTTGGTGTGAGTCTTCAGGTTTTAAACGATAACAGAGAAGCGTGTTGTGATTGGTCGGTGACCTTCTCACCCCCAGAGTTTACCCATTTTCAAATGACCAGATCAGACCTGGTCTTACTGACCCGTTCTGGCGTCTCTGACTTCCAGATCTCCGGTCCTGAAGCCGTTCTTCTTCTTCTACCCTAAATCCCAGATTAAGGTTTGTGGGGAGAAAACGGGGATTAGAATCCAGAATCTTTCCCGTAAACGTGCTTTAACGGGCCTGTGGACAGGTGGACATCCATGTTGGCGGACATCTGGTGGAGTCTCTGACAGAGGTGGAACCAGACTCACCTGGACAGGGACAGGAAGGAGTCCCGCCCACATCAGACCAGGACACACCTGATACAGGTGAGTGGAACGTGGTAATGATCCTCGTCTGCTGTCGTCCATTGGGTTAAAACCCACATGACCTCAGAGACGTCACATGACCTCAGAGACGTCACATGACCTCAGAGCCCCCCCCCCCCCCCCCCCCCCCCCCCGTGTGTGTGTGACCAGACCTGCCCAGTGGCCCTCACACCTACAGGCTGGAGGACCTGGCCTACACCAGGAGCGGGGACAAAGGAGACTCCGCTAACATCGGTGAGAACCGGGATACCTCTGCTGGTCGGGTCCAAACAGGTCCAGATGGGACCTACTCAGACCGGTTCCTGTCTCTTTGCAGGAGTCATCGCTCGCCATCCGCTTTACTTCCCCTACCTGAGTAAACACCTGACTTCTTCTGTGGTGGAGGAATACTTCTCCCACCTGCTGGAGCCAGGGGCGAGCCACGCCGTCACACGGTGAGTAGACAGGAAGTGATGTCATAGGAACCACCTGGACTTCAAGACCCAGATCTGTAGAGGGTCATGGTCTACATCAGGGATCCTCAATCATAATGGTCCGAGGGCCACACACAGAAAAGACCCAGAAGCAAGAGGGCCGTGGTGGTGGTGGTGGTGGTGGGGGGGTGCGCGCGGGGTTTGGGGGCCACAAAGAGAGGGCTCGCAGGCCGGACGTGGCCCGCGGGCCCCCATTTGCGGACCACTGGTCTACATTTAGTCAGTAACAGCTTGAACTTAAAGGAGCAATATGTCCGGATTCCACAGTGAAATAACAGAAACCAGTCCAAGTCACGTCAGAAGGAAGGTTAAACTCCGCCGGCTAGGGGTTGTCGGTTCTTCTCCTTTAGAAAAACGTAGAGAGACGTAGTTACTGGTTACGCTGTGTGAGGTTGCTGAGATGGCGCTGAGCTAACGCTGCATGTGTAATTTGATAGCAGCAGGCGAAAAGCTCCAGAGAACCAAAGCCAGTAAACAGGAGCGACCTAGAAGTCATTTCCCGTACCCCTAAGAAGCCATGGCATCTTTTTGTTTTACTCTAATTCGGGTGTAGCAGGCTACAGGCTAACGTTGAGCTAACAATGCTAACGGTGAATTAGAAGCAGACCGTCAGCTCTAAAAATATCTCAAGCTACTTTTCAGTTACCCACAACTCAGTAGTGCAGTGAAATGCAAGTGAAGTGAATAACGAGCCAATCGTTTAATTTTACTCGTTCACAACCAGAACGGCAAACAACACTTCCTCTACTGCTGGAGACACACTACCGTAATAAGTGTAGTAAGTGCTCACTACCACGTAACGAGTTCTAGCACCAGCTGTGACGATGGCTTCATCAAATTACTGAGTATGACTCATCATTGCTTGTCATCTAGAATCTTCTGGTGCTGATCCATGCCTGGCAACAATCACATGAGTGTTAGTGAGAGGGATTTATTAGCTCTATGATTGACTGTAGTAACCGCATATGACCACAGGATGTCAGTCTTACATATTGTACCTTTAAGGACTCAAAACAAACAAAACCACAGAAGAAGAAACCCAGCTGCAGGAACAGGTCCAGTTGTACCTGGTTCTGAGGTCTGATGAGGACCAGATGGTGTGTGTGTGTGTGTGTGTGTGTGTGTGTGTGTGTGTGTGTGTGTGTGTGTGTGTGTGTGTGTGTGTGTGTGTGTGTGTGTGTGTGTGTGTGTGTGTGTGTGTGTGTGTGTGTGTGTGTGTGAACAGCAGGCTGTAAATCTGACCAACCAGTCACGTTTCTCACCTCCCCAGATTTTCATTAGTCCACGTCTGCTGCTCATTAACAGCACACACACACACACACACACACACACATATATGAACACACACTCTCTCACACACACACAAACATGGTGATTAAGCTGTTTTCACTCTTCTTGTAAATTCCACTGAAACATCTAATGACTGTAAAACACACACACACACACACACACACACAGGATTGCGTTGGCAGGCCTCTGCTGGTGTCGAACACATTTTCTCAAGTTTTTGCGGTTTTGGGAGTGTGTGTGATGTGGGGGGGGGGGGGTTGTGTTGCCGTGGTAACGGTGTGGGCTCTTGTGGTTTTGCAGATACACTCTACCAGGGATCCATGGCCTCAACTTTGTCCTGCAGAACTCTCTGGGAGGGGGAGGGGTGGCCTCGCTACGCAGTGACCCCCAGGTAACACACACACACACACAGTTCTCCTCCTGACCTCTGTGTTCCTCCTGTCTCCTCGTCTTCCCGTCATAAGACGTTCAGACGTTCACCTGACCGATGAACGGCCTCCCAGCCCAGATCTGCAGCAGGGCAGATGGAGTCGAGGCCACTTTTCTAAACATGGGTCCAGTGAGACGGAGAACTCCAGCCCTCTTCCTTGTGGAGCTGACGCATCAACTGGGCTTCAAACAGGACAGGACAGGCGGACAGGAAGTCCAACTGGTCCCAGAGCAGCGTTAAAGCTCTAATAAAGCACCCTAATGAGCCTCTACAGCTGTAGCTGACTCTCAGGGACGTTCTCTGCTGTTGGCTCGCTTCGCTGACGAACAGACGGCACCAGTGAGAGTCTCTGCTGGGTCAGAAACGGGCCGGTTCCTCAGAAATGCTGCTGCAGATCTGGAGACCTTCTTATCTAGCCCCAACCACGCTCAGACCCGCTGTGAGTCAGACAGTTTCAGGTTTCAGACCAAGTCCCTGCCCCCCACCGCCACCACCCTCGGTGACTAGGCCCGGCGCTCCAGCGGAACCCACACACATCAAAGGGACGTCATCAGAGACGTGTGGATGGACACACGTCTCGCACAGGAAGCAGCAGCACTCGTCTGGCCTCCTGCAGGTGCTGATGGTTCTGATTCTGTGTTTCAGGGTAAAGCCTACGGGCAGATGCTGCTGGACCTGGAGCTGACGGGACTGCCGGACCTCAAGTCCCTGGTGGACTGAGACAGACACAAGACCCAGAAAAGGAGACGTGAGACGTCCGCAGGAAGACTGTTGATCGGTTCTGACCTTAAAACAAAATATGAAATATAACCATAACGTGTTTGTGTAGAGGATCACAGTGTAGGGAGACAGTTCTGGTGGCGTAGAGGATCACAGTGTAGGGAGACAGTTCTGGTGGCGTAGAGGATCACAGTGTAGGGAGACGGTTCTGGTGGCGTAGAGGATCACAGTGTAGGGAGACGGTTCTGATGGCGTAGAGGATCACAGTGTAGGGAGACAGTTCTGATGGTGTAGAGGATCACCGTGTAGGGAGACGGTTCTGATGGTGTAGAGGATCACAGTGTAGGGAGACGGTTCTGATGGTGTAGAGGATCACCATGTAGGGAGACGGTTCTGATGGTGTAGAGGATCACAGTGTAGGGAGACAGTTCTGATGGTGTAGAGGATCACAGTGTAGGGAGACAGTTCTGATGGTGTAGAGGATCACAGTGTAGGGAGACGGTTCTGATGGTGTAGAGGATCACAGTGTAGGGAGACGGTTCTGATGGTGTAGAGGATCACAGTGTAGGGAGACAGTTCTGATGGCGTAGAGGATCACAGTGTAGGGAGACAGTTCTGATGGTGTAGAGGATCACCATGTAGGGAGACAGTTCTGATGGCGTAGAGGATCACAGTGTAGGGAGACGGTTCTGATGGCGTAGAGGATCACAGTGTAGGGAGACGGTTCTGATGGTGTAGAGGATCACAGTGTAGGGAGACGGTTCTGATGGTGTAGAGGATCACAGTGTAGGGAGACAGTTCTGATGGCGTAGAGGATCACAGTGTAGGGAGACAGTTCTGATGGTGTAGAGGATCACCATGTAGGGAGACAGTTCTGATGGCGTAGAGGATCACAGTGTAGGGAGACAGTTCTGATGGTGTAGAGGATCACCATGTAGGGAGACAGTTCTGATGGCGTAGAGGATCACAGTGTAGGGAGACGGTTCTGATGGTGTAGAGGATCACAGTGTAGGGAGACGGTTCTGATGGTGTAGAGGATCACAGTGTAGGGAGACGGTTCTGATGGTGTAGAGGATCACAGTGTAGGGAGACAGTTCTGATGACGTGATGTTCCGGCAGACAGATTAACACCTCCTTAAATAACAGTTGGTTCCTGTCTTAAATTCATTCATTCATGTCGGTGGAAGAGAAACTAGTTCAGAGATTTCAAACGTGGCGCTCATATTTCTCCTGGTCTCCTTGACCCCGCCTCCTGATGACTAGGGTTCTCTAGGGAGTCTAAGTCTCCTCCCCTCCCGGTCGGCTCATGGGTCCCTGAACGGAGCGATAAAAGCTATTTTCTGATCCGCTTTGCCTTCGGCCCTGAGTCACACGTGTTGTGCTTGGATTTAGATGAAAAGTAGTGATGTGAGTTTCCACTGTGTGCCACGTACTTTGAGATTTGTTTGCTAGTAAAAATTTGTAACTAAAATGACTACAAATCAGACTTTGCGTGTATGACGTCACCTCAGAAGCCCACTTACCACATGGCCAGATAGTTTGTTTGGTTTTCCCCACGTCTAATGCTCCTTCTGGAAGAAGCTCGCCAGGCTCACGGCCGTTTTCTTCTCTGTGTCTGGTTCGATGATGTCATTATGATGAAACGCCTTTGTAGTCTGCTACGTCTGTTCACACTAAACCTAAAACTACTTTTGCCGCCATTTGAAAAGAAGCTCTTTCTTGACATCAGAAAGAGTCGTTGAAATTCACGGACATCATACGTGAAATCCGCGGCACGCGGGAGTAGGAAATGGCGTTTTTAGCCCCAGTGACTCACATTCATGTTTTCTTATTTCCGGGGACCCGCGGCTGGAGGTAGATGGGCGTGACTTAGGCTCCCTATTCTCCGGCCCCGAGCGGAGGCGGCGTGGCGTTACGGTCCCTGAGAGGGTCCCTGCACCAGCGGAGTACTCCATGATACGGACCCTGATCAGATCCTTGAGATCGCTTCATGGTGTCGGCCATCTTTAGCCGTGTTTGTGTAACGTCAGAACGGCCCGTGTAACCCACGGACCTCGTCAGCTTAGCATTTGCAATTCCACCCTTTCAAAATAAGAGTTTGTTAGAGCTGAGTCAAACTGTTGTAAACACCTGAAGCTGTTTGAGTTACCTCGGAGTCCGTCATCACAGCAGACAGGTCAAAGGTCAGAATCTCCTGAACTTCCTGATGACATCACTTCCTGATCCAAACAGAACAAACCATCCAGATATGTTCGGTTGGAACCAGAGGCTTTCACTCTGAAAGGGTTGGTTCGGAGCACTCCCCCCTCAGGGGAGCTGCCCTGACCTTTGACCCCAGGACTGGAGAGTTTCACGTTAGCACTCCCTGAGGTGCTCCGCTCAGATATGAGAGGAGACTTTCTGATTGGCTTCTCGTCCAGCGGGCACGCCGCCGCCGCCGCCTCGTTAACTCCGACCCGGCTCCGACACCCCCACCCCCCTCAGGAATGCTGTCTCCCTCCACCTAACCGACTCGTGCTTCCAGCCTGGTTGCTCATAATTACAAACAGACGGAAGCTGGAGTCAGAATCACTCAGCAGCTTCCCTTCATCCCCGTCCGACCCGACCCGGAGTCTTCCTCTGGCCCCGCCCCGCCCTCCTCCTGCAGCCACCGGTGCTGCTCCACGTCCAGGACAAAACAGAACTCCCAGCCGGAGAGAATGTGGATTTTGTGGTGACGGAGACGGACAGAACCGCATTCGACCGCTTCCCAGGAACAGTAAATACACGTTTGGGATAAACAGCCGATCAAAGGGAGCCGGCTCAGACGGCAGAGCTGAAAGCAGGTCTTCTCTGGGAGGAGGAGACGTCACAATAAAGCTTTCAGTCCTGCTTCCCACTAAACACAATAAACATTTCACTCTGAGCGTCACCGAGTCCCCGGCTGTCCTACGGGTCCTCCATGAGGAGTAGGACAACATCCAAACGCTTTCTGGCATCTTTGAGTCATTCGGAGCCTGCTGTAGACATTCCCACAGTCGGAATCTGGGTCACAACTTTCAGGAATTGTTTTGGAGCTTTGATATTCCAGACATCCAGTCCGTTTAACGAGGAACGGATTAATGATGAGAAGTCAGCAATGAGAACCAGACGTGTCTAATTTGAATGATTCTGTCTCTGGAGGCTGAAACGCATCAACGTTTGATCTGAGCTGTGACTTTCAAACCCTTTCCGTTCTGGTTCTTCTGTTATTTAAACATGTCTGCACCAAACCGTGAACGTGATGGTGGATTCTGCCTTTTCTCCTCCAGTGTGGGTTCTGCAGGATGAATCCTGAAACCATTTTATAACTCGGAGCGTTATCCTCTCTGAGCGACGTGTCTGCTGACTTCGTGAATCCTGGATTTGTTGTGAGTGAGTTGAGAGACCTGCACGTGTCCAAGGACGCCTCCCTGTGGGACGCCACATTCATTTCTGCTGCTGCCGGTGATCATAAAGCTGAGTTTGACCAGTTAATAAAGAAATTATTCGGTATTTTCAGATTTCTAAAACAAATCAAGATGATTCATTTTAATTTTCTGGTCTTTGAGCCGTTTTGTGCCTAAAAAACAGAAACGACAAGCTTTTAGTGTGAAATCATAGGGAAGAGTTCAAATTAGACATGGAATTTAATCTGTGAATATTAGTGTTTTTATACAGTTAGACTAATTAAATCAGGAAAAGATCTATTTGGATTACATCTGAGGTGTCTGCAAGTGTTTTTGTGTCCAAGCCTAAGTTCCTGCTGCCTTGACACTCGTGGCCTTTTGCAGACTCGTTATGGTTTTTAAATGGTAACTATGTTTAGTTCTTGAGCTTTGTCGTGTGATTGTTCTAACAGAACATATCTTCATATGGACTACATGTGTTGAATGATCCACCTGCAGCTGGGCTCTTGTAGCTGCTGAAATGGATCATTTTATAGCAAAAGGTCAGAAGGAATGATCCACCTGCAGCTGGGCTCTTGTAGCTGCTGAAATGGATCATTTTATAGCAAAAGGTCAGAAGGCCGAGGGCTCTTCCCTGTGGAACACCAGAGGTGATTGTGTCTGTTTTACAGCCTGGAGCATGAACTCCTGCTGTGGTTGAGGTCATGGTAGACTAGATGTGGGCTCATATTGTAAACATTACCCTGTAATCTGTTTATATTTTAGATTTTTACATTTTAGACTGATCTGACTGCTCGGATTACCTCTAATCCGAGTCCCGGTGGTTTCAGATTAATCCGGAGGCCTTGAGGTGAAACTGCTGCTTCCTGTTTCCACTGATGGATTTTAATCAATCACTTTGTAGTTCTAATCATCTTAATAATGAGTTCTGGGTTTTACCGACTAAAGGGGATGTAAAGGCTGTTTTATTGCTGAACCACAGGTGGATTGTTTCCACCTGAGGTCAAAGCTTCTCTGCAAAAAGCTGATTCTGCAGATTCTGGAACATTAAAGACGTTTTATTACTAAACCGCCTGTTTGGTGTTGGAGGTTCTAGATTCATGTAGAGAACAGCTACAGCACGATGGGGCTCATGACCAGACACTAAACTTCTACTGACGGTTGGGTCTGGCCGGTTCCCCTGTTCTCCAGATGTTGCTCCTCACAGATGTGCATGTGTAGCTGCTTCTCAGCTTAACAGGATTCATTAAAACGGTTTCCCAGTTAATCCCAGTGTAAGCAGTCACACGGGACCAGCAGGGATTCAAACCCGCACCTCTCTGGTGACACAAAGAGAACCAAGGACAGAATTAGTCTCTGTCAGGCGGCGCTGACTGGTCCCTGTCGGGAGGCTGGACGTGTCTCTGTGTCCCTGTCACCGCTGACTAAAGGAGATGGATCGCGTCTCGTCGCTCCTGTCGCTCCAGACAGCAGGAGATGCTTCCTGCTTCCCAGCAGTCCAGAATAATGGAGTCGCCAGTCCCGTCCTGGTGGGAATCCTGGTTCCTGAGTGGGAAAAGAGTCGGGAATTTAGGCTCTCATCAAAGGAGAAGTTGACATCAAAAGTACAATCTGGCTCTGGATCGTGGCGTAAAAGCACCTGGACCAGAGCTGGGCTCAGGTTCTACAGCCTCCTGTTGGACCAGTTCTGAACCAGAACCAGGAGACGGCAGCACTCCCGGTTCTCACCGGGGTGAGGAAGGACAGGTGTGAACACCATTTGTTCTGTTGGACCGAGCTGCTGGCTGCCTGAGGTCACCCTCACGGGTTCTGGTGCTGATCGGCAGGGCTCTACGGAAGCCCAAAGCACCCAAATAGTTAAAAAGCAGGTAGAAATGTTTGGTTCTGGTCCACTGGGTTTATTTGTGTTTATTAGTAACGTCTTTGTGGTTCTGATGGGAGGTGTTGGACTTGATTCATCACATGTGGTTCCTGCAAGCTTAAGCCCCGCCTTCTAGTGGCTGGTTCCGATGTTTTAAGCCCCGCCCCTTGCTTCTCTGTTTATGTTTGCCTAAAAGCAGCTGTGTGAGTTCAGCTGGACTCTCAGAACCAGACCCAGTAGGACCAGCAGGGTTCTGTCCCCCCCTGCAGTCCGCGTGGACCTCCCTGCTGCCCATCAGAACCTGATCTGGTTCCTCATCAGATCCTGGGTGGGTCCAGGTTCTCACTTTCCCCCCCGTGTCCTGCGGGGACCCTCCCCCTCACACACGCCCTCTCCAGGAGCAGACCGAGTCCTCTCAGAGCAGACCAGGACCGAGGACCTGCAGGCTTGCCTCTGCCCCACCATGCTGGACACCCTGACCTTCCTCCTGGAGCGCCTCTTCCTCCTGGCCCACATCAAGCTGTCCAGTCTGACGCCCCCCCCTCCGGCCACCGAACCGCCGCTGCCCCTCCGGGACGAGCCGTCCTGCCGCACCGGTTCCAGCGGGGAGACCTGCTGGAGGTCCCGCGGACCCTCTTCACCCACTTCGCATCTACCTGGGGGAGGACCGGGTGGCGCACCTGATCCCGGACATCCTGACGGTTCTGACGGCGGACCGGCTGCAGATCCAGCAGACGGTGACCAACAGCCGGCTGCTGCTGGGGGTTTCTGACCAAACGGGCCAGCATCCGGGTGGACTCGGTGGAGGACTTCGCCTATGGAGCCGGGATCGTGCTGACAACCAGGATGGACCGGGAGGCGGTTCGGAGCCCGCTGCCCGGGGAGGAGGTGGCCCAGCGGGCGGAGCTGCTGCTGGGGAGCATCTCCTACAGCCTGCTGTGGAACAACTGTGAGCACTTCGTCACCTACTGCCGGTACGGAACCGGCACGAGCCTGCAGACCGAGCAGGTGAGACCCGACCGGACCGGTGCTCCTGTTGCTGCAGATCACCCGTGTGTGTGTGTGTGTGTGTGTGTGTGTGTGGTGTGTGTGTGTGTGTGTGTGTGTCTGTGTGTGTGTGTGTGTGTGAGAGAGAGAGAGAGAGAGAGAGAGAGAGAGAGAGAGAGAGAGAGAGAGAGAGAGAGAGAGAGAGAGAGGAGAGAGAGAGAGAGAGAGAGAGAGACGAGAGAGAGAGAGAGAGAGAGAGAGAGAGAGAGAGAGAGAGAGAGAGAGAGAGAGAGAGAGAGAGAGAGAGAGAGAGAGAGAGAGAGAGAGAGAGAGAGAGAGAGAGAGAGAGAGAGAGAGAGAGAGAGAGAGAGAGAGAGAGAGAGAGAGAGAGAGAGAGAGAGAGAGAGAGAGAGAGAGAGAGAGAGAGAGAGAGACCTGGTTCTGGTCCCTGATGGGTTCTGTAGACTTGCAGCAGAACCTGTCCTTTAGGTTTACACGGAGCCACCAGAACCGGGCCAGGCTCTGGTCCGGGACTGATGCTGGTTCTGGTTTCAGACCCGGCTCTCCAACTCATTTCTGGGTCTCAGGAGGTTCTGATCCGGTTAAGGATGGAGAGAATCATCAGACCTCCAGAAGGTCTGGAGTACCAGCAGAACCCCTTGACCCATCTGTTGCTATAGTAACAGATCTGGGATCTGCAGCACCAACATGGAGCAGGTCGGTTCTGTAGACCCAGACTCCTCAGCCCATCCAGATGAACCAGCTGTGCGAGAGATCTCCCCCCCCCCCCCCCACCCACCACCCCAGCACACACACATACACACACACACACAGAGGAAAATCTGGGTCGCTGCTTGGAAAGTTCTGAGAACAAGAGCAGCATTCAGAGCCGAGGAGCCAGACGGCACCAGAGCCAGTCACTGGGCTCAGACCCCAGGGCCCCTCTGTGGTTTTGTCAGGACGTGAGTCAGAACGGGCCTGTGGGTCGGCTCTGGTCGGAACGTTTATTAGCTTGAAGTCAGTAAACCAGCATCGAACCGGGTTTGGCAGCAGCAGAAACTCCAGAACAAAGTTTTATCAGCAGGTATTGAACGTGTTCTGTTCAGCTCTGATGAAGTTAAGTGTGATACACGGCGACCTAACCGCCGCTGTTGATGTTTAGAGTCCAAATGTCTGAGCCCACCCTGACCTCCTGCCTTTGTCTCCAGTTCTGTGAATGGATGAAGTCTCTGGTCCGAGACCAGAGGACCGTGGTCCTGACGGCGCTGCTGGGCCTCCTGGCCATGGCGTGTTGGGGAGTGTCCTCCGGCACCGCCCTGCCCGCCCTGCTGGTCCCCTTCACTCTGTGGATGGCCAGCTAAGACCCACCTTCAGTCCCTGAACCCACCAGAACCTTCAGCGGGGAAACAGGTCCAGACCCACTTGTTCTGTGGAGACTCATGCAGCTCTAGAACCACTGAGCAACCTCACACGGTGCTTTCAGAGACTTCTAACAGCGAACCCCGTCAGCCTCCTGAACAGCCTCTGTGCAGAGAAGTAGCATACGTTATGACTGATGAGCTAAGCTAGCTATTAGCTCGGACACGTTATTAGCTCAGATTAGCTATTAGCTCGGACACGTTATTAGCTCAGATTAGCTATTAGCTCGGACACGTTACTAGCTCAGATTAGCTATTAGCTCGGACACGTACTAGCTCAGATTAGCTATTAGCTCGGACACGTTATTAGCTCAGATTAGCTATTAGCTCGGACACGTTACTAGCTCAGATTAGCTATTAGCTCGGACACGTTATTAGCTCAGATTAGCTATTAGCTCGGACACGTTATTAGCTCAGATTAGCTATTAGCTCAGACTGCCTGATCTTAGGGTGCCACTCAATGTGAAGGAACCTCGCTTGCCCTTGTAAGGCGCCTTGCTTACGAGGACCAACGGTCCTTCCTTGGTCAAGAAAAACGGTTAAATGGAACAGACTTGCCTCATGTCACCGCGGCTTCGTGTCACAAGTCACGTTAGCTAACGTTATACTTTATCCATATAAGTTTCAATATAAATGTATAACGAGTCTTTTTCCTTTTTGAACATCTTAGGTGTGTTCTTACTGTGTCGTGGTTCTAATTCCATGCTTTCGTTCTTTTTTAAACACTGAAACAGTTTTGTTTACCTGTTTTGTAGCTACAAACAGGTAAACAAAACTGTTTCTGTGTTTAAAAAAGAACGAAAGCATGGAATTAGAGTCTTTTTCCTGTAATCTGTTGGTTAAATTAAATATGTAAGTGAGTTAGTACCCAAGCTGCGACTAACCAACAGTAAATAACTGCTCTGGATTTAGATGTATTTCAGAAATCAGCCCAGCAGCTACAAGATGACTTGCATTTAAACTGGAAATTATCCCCCAAAGTAGCTGCCGGCCCCCAATCCACCATCCTTAGAAAATACCGCACTGCATTCTGGGAACTTTTGGACCAAGAGAAGGCAGCAAGGCACCTCGCATGTATCCTCGCTCAGCTAGCTAAACAGCTAACAAACGGAGAACAGACACCTTGGTAGCACAAAAACGTCGGAACACGCCTTGGCGGGTTCCTGATGGTGTATCTCCTAGGCAACCGGGGTGGGACCAAGACATCAAGGCGAGGTTCCTTGACATTAAGAAACACCCTTAGACTGACGCTAGCTCCAACTAGCCTTTAGCTCATCAGTGGCAGCAGTCCAGAACAGGAAGGTAGGACTAAATATCAGTTCACACGCTGATTTGTGTTGTTTCATCACTTCCTGTTATAGTTCTCACATTTCCTGTCGTTGAACACAAATTCTTCAGTAGAACTCAGGAGACCCATTGTGGCCAACGACTTTCACATATCAGCCAATCGGTTGCAACAAGCGTCTTAAAAGAGGCGGAGCTAAATGTTGGAGCCAGGTGAAAGGGGGAGGGCTTCATGAGTCACAGTTCAATCTTCTCTATTGACTTCATTATCACATTAGATCAGCTGCTGAGGTTGGTATGACGTCACCAGGCTGACGGCGTCTCGGCTGTCCAACAGGAAGTGAGACGTTCTCCAGCTGTTTGCCTCTGGGCCGGAACCGGGACGAAGCGCCTCTGTACATACCTGTAGATGTCCTCCTGCACCGGGCTGTTCTCCAGCAGCTCCACGCTTTTGTCAAGAGTCTATTTTTACAGCGAGTTAACTCTTTATGTTCTGTTGTTGTGTAAATAATAAACAAGATGAAGGAAGTTGTTGTTGTTTCTTCGTCAGACGCACAAACACGGATGTTGTTATCACAGCTGCTGTTTGACTCCACGTGGAAATAAAACAATCCTGAATATTCTGATGATTGGTTTAAATGAGAGTTCTGCTCTGTGTGGATCTTTGTACATGATCGCCCCCTGCTGGTGAGTCGTGGCTACTACAACACACACACACACACACACACAACTCCATTAATCAATAATCAGCTGATCTATTGGAATAAATTCTAGCAGAAGAGTTTCAGACACCTGACTCCACCTTTGACCCGATTCATGAGCTGGACCACGACAACCAGAACTCCCATCATGAATCAGGACACGCTGTGCTGGGAGCTCCAGGCGTTGGTCAGGTCCGGTCTGGAGTTCTGATCCCATTCCCTCCTCCCACCAGCAGCGTTCCTCCTCCCACCAGCAGCATTAAACCTCCTGAGCAATCAGCTGCACCTCGTCCTGCGTCTCCTCTCAGCATGTTTCTGCTGCACCTCCTCGCTCTGATCTTCATCTCCACCAGAACCGTGGAGCCGCCGCAGGAGGAGAAGAAGAAGAAGGAGGAGGAGGAGGAGAAGAAGAAGAAGGAAGAAGAGGAGGAGGAGGAGGAGAAGAAGAAGAAGGAAGAAGAGGAGGAGGAGGAGAAGGAGACCAAGAGCAAGTATGATCTGATGTTCCAGAGAGGAGACCTGCTGGAGGTTCCCCGGACGCTGTTCACCCACTTTGGGATTTACCTGGGGGGAGGCAGGTGAGTCTACTGGGGGAGGCAGGTGAGTCTACTGGGGGAGGCAGGTGAGTCTACTGGGGGGGAGGCAGGTGAGTGTACTGGGGGAGGCAGGTGAGTCTACTGGGGGAGGCAGGTGAGTCTAACAGGGGGAGGCAGGTGAGTCTACTGGGGGAGGCAGGTGAGTCTAACAGGGGGAGGCAGGTGAGTCTACTGGGGGAGGCAGGTGAGTCTACTGGGGGAGGCAGGTGAGTCTAACAGGGGGAGGCAGGTGAGTCTACTGGGGGGGAGGCAGGTGAGTCTACTGGGGGGGAGGCAGGTGAGTCTAACAGGGGGAGGCAGGTGAGTGTACTGGGGGAGGCAGGTGAGTCTACTGGGGGAGGCAGGTGAGTCTAACAGGGGGAGGCAGGTGAGTCTACTGGGGGAGGCAGGTGAGTCTAACAGGGGGAGGCAGGTGAGTCTACTGGGGGAGGCAGGTGAGTCTACTGGGGGAGGCAGGTGAGTCTAACAGGGGGAGGCAGGTGAGTCTACTGGGGGGGAGGCAGGTGAGTCTACTGGGGGGGAGGCAGGTGAGTCTAACAGGGGGAGGCAGGTGAGTCTACTGGGGGGGAGGCAGGTGGGGTGCATGCTGATGGCCTCCTCCTGTCTTTCCTTCTGTCTTGTTCTTCCAGAGTGGCTCATTTCATCCCAGACATCATGCCCGTCATCTCCAGGGACCAGTCTCAGATCCGCCTGATGGTGACCAACACCAGACTCATACTGGGAGTTCTGGTCAAGGTACGAGAGCCACCATTCTGACTTCCTCCTGTCATCAGTCAGAACCTCCAGGCCAGATGGAACCCGAGGGTCCTGGTCTGTAGATCCTGGTGTGACGTTTCCACGTGTTTGTCCTCAGTGTGGGAGCATCCGAGTGGACTCGGTGGACGACTTTGCCTACGGAGCAGAGATCCTGGTCAACCCCATGGACCGGGTAAAAGACGGTTCTGGGTCTGGTTGTCTGGAGTCCAGCAGAGGAACCTGGATGGACTCCAGATGTTGGGTCCATTTCTGAAGTGTGTATCTCGGTGCAGATGTGCGGTCGCTTGGCGCTGCCAGGAGAGGAGGTGGCCCTGCGGGCGGAGAAGCTGCTGGGGGACGTGTCCTACAGCCTGCTGTGGTACAACTGTGAACACTTCGTCATGTTCTGCAGATATGGGGCCTCCACCAGCTTCCAGACCTTCCAGGTGACTCACGGCCTCTCAGGTCCAGAACGAGGTCCAGATGCCAGGCGTGGGGTCTGGTGTGGTCCTGGTTTCTCCCTCAGGGCCCTGACCTTTAGCTGTGTGTACTCCAGCAGCAGATTAACTCAGATTATAGACCAGAACCGGATCAGAACCCGGTCAGTCAAAGGCCTTTTGTTGTGCAGGTTGTGTGTGACTCTGATTAGGAGACTGAGGGAGGTAAGAAGGTCCCGGACCTTCAGGGGAACCAGAGACGGAAGCAATGAGCTTTAAAATATTCCCACATCAGGTTTAAACCGGATTATCAGAGACAAACAAACACAGTCCTGAAATGAGCAGCCAATCAGAACAGCCTGTGACGACTGGATTAGTCATGGAATTATTCAGGTCCAGACTCTAAAAAACATCTTTATACTTGTTTATTTATCAGATTGATCAGATCTACTTTAACAGAAACGGAGTTAATAAAAGAATCCAGCGAGCCAGTGCAGTATTCACAGGAAATGTCTCCACCTGGCGGTGAGATGGGAGAACTGCACGTCTGGTTATCGTCTCCGTGAGTTAAATGTTGTTTATTTATTCCTGCAGGAAAACGTTGATGTTTAGGCTGAGTTTCGGAGCCTAGTGTGAGCTTGTGTTCATGCAGCTGCGACCTTAGATAGCTAGGTGTAGGTGAGGATTAAAGAGGACCGTGGTGTCGGTGAGCTCGTGAACCTGGACCCAAAATAAAGACTTAATCAGCTAAACTTGTACGCCAACATCTGACCCGGATGCTTCTGATTGTCTCCACTAGTTCTGTAAGACCATGAGGAAGCTGCTGCTGAGTCGACGCGTTGCCAAGGTAACGGCGATGCTCTCAATGTGCCTGCTGGTCTACCTGAGAGCTGTGAACACCTGGTCGGTCCTGCCAGCGTTCCTGCTGCCGTTCCTCCTCTGGATGGCCTCGTAAAAGGATGATTTCTGTCATATCAACAGATTTAAACCGGATCCAGTCCGGGCTTTTATGGTTCATGCCTGCAGCTCATAACATGACAGTTTTATGTTGTTTAACCAGTTTTTAAAATGCGATACTAGATAAATACTCTGATCTGATATGGATTCATTCAGTGAGTTTGTCAGAAAATGAATTAAACTTTCTCACATTGACCGTGATGGATTGCCTCTTGTTCTGCATCAATACTCCTTTTGTTTTTCTGTCATATTGTTTCGACATATTCACATATATGTCGTACATTTTGATTGATTTTATTCTTTTTATTGCATTTTCATTATTTTAACTATATTCCATTACTTTTTGGTTTATGTTTTATTACATTTAATGTAAAATTCAACTGTGATTTGTTTTAGCATAAAGTGACAAATATTCATTAATTTTGGTTTAATTTACATTAATTGTGTGAAAACTAGTTTATTTTTTCATGTTTTGATAAAATAAAAATAAAATAAAATAAAATAAAATAAAATAAAATTCGAACACGGGCCGCCTGTTACAAACTTCGTCGCTGATTGGTGGAGGGTCCCGTCACTCCCCGCCCCTGGCTCGGACTGTTGCTAGGTAACGATTCTCCGGCTCTTCCCGGCGGAGTTTTAGCTGAACTCTGTGACCGAACTGTTGCTTCTGGAGATCCTGAAGCCGTTTAGAGGAAAAATGCTCCAACTTCGAGGCGGTGAGAGTCCAGTTCAGCTGTTATAACGTGTTTTAAAAACAAACGCGGTGGTTTGGTGAAGTTTGGGAGGATTTTAGCGGTTAAAAGGAAACTTTGATGCAGATTAATCTAGAGCCGCTAGCATGCTAGCTAACGTAACTCTAGCTGGTTTATCATTTAAAAAGTTAAATTGTTCATTCGTTGCTGATGCAGTTAGTTTACAGGATTAGATTTTAGTGATTTTTCTCGCGGGAATTATTATGGGATGGAAAAGGTTGCGCTATTAGCATTAGCTCACTAAGCTAACTCCTTACGTTCATTTCCTGAACTTGAAAATGAAGGAAAAAAATTATTTTTATGTCAAAACTGGTAGCGTTTATGACATGTTAATGACATTTCAAACAGAAACTTGTGTTTTCTACATGTAGAATTAAATGGGTCATAAACATTTCTGTTTCCATAGATTTAGCTGATTATTAGTGAAATAAAAACATGTTCCAAACCAGATTTACAGTGAATGTTTCCGGGAGCTCATCAGCATCAAACAAATAACACTTATTCATCCAAATAATAAATAAGAATAAACTCCACCTACTTAGTGATGAACTCATTAATGAGTTACTGTTTTTATTTTAGGTCCAGTGGCTTTTATCAATTCAATTC